GTATCCCACCAAGCAGGTATCCCCCAAGGTAGGGTATCCCAGAGAGGCAGGCTGGCCCAAAAAGATAAACTAAAGTTTCTATTTTTAACTTTAGTAATGCATACAGAAGGGATTACTAGTCCCTTGCTCCCGCCATCAGTCTCTGTTTATCTCTGTCACTGCTTATGTGTGTCTGTCTGTCTGTCTTCCTGTCTCTTTGTCTACTTGTCTCTCTGTCTCAGAGAGAGATGCTCGTGAACCAACAGGTATTACACACGATGCAGAGTCGTCACGTCTGATTCCTGACCAAGTGAAAATGCATATTACTTGCCAGTCATGCTTATCATGCCTTATATCTACAAGCACAGTATAGCACTTTGTCTGGATTTTTTTGGGTTATCCTAGGTAATTTACACTATGTATAATAACTATTTATGTGTACCTGTGAGAGAGACAAACACAGACACAGACAAACAGACAGAGACAGAGACAGCCAAAGTCAATCAGCCACCTAACCACTCACCCGGCCACCAGCCACCAGCCACCCAGCCTGCCAAACATATATTACACATGTTCCAGAATTGTTTCTCTTTACTTAGGCCATAGGTTACAGGACATTCTGGCAGGATGACACTACCAGTGGAATCAAAATTGAAAGTATGTTGCATAAATGTTGCACACGGGTTATTATCGGGGTTTTTGATATTTCCTAGACCACCTGTGGCCAGATCCATCTCAAAGCCACTAAACTCTGGGTCAACATCATTTTCCTCTTAAAAGGGGAGTGTTAATATGACATGACATCAGTTAATCCCTGGTGTTTGCCGTGCTGTTTGCTCTAGCTGGCACTCAATTGAACTGGTGTTCCCACAAGGTACTAAGTGGTCCCAGATTTTTTAATATTATGCACAATGAGTGTTAAGACCCATTCTATACTGACCAGGCATCTCAGGCCAATTGTGCCAAATTTGGCGGCAGGAAAAATGAAATGTTGATTTATGTTTGGAGTGCTAGTGGTAAGAACATAGATCTACGTTTGGACAGTTAAGGGGTTAAAGTATAACAATGCATTTAAATGCAAATTTGAAAGAAAAATCTCAAATAAGTTCAAAATGTCTACCTGCAGCATTAGTTTCCCCAGAGTAGCAGCCTGAGGGAGGTGTGAGATCTGCATTAACAGTGAGGCTTGTCCACTCACTGCTACAGACTTCTTCATCTGCTTATTGTTGACTTCACATTGCAAGGCTTCAC